TAATATGAATATATATTTATATACATACACACATCTATCTATATATATCTATGTATATACAGATACATCTCTATCATTACAAACATTAGCGGCATTTGCTAGCCTGGAAACTATGTATCTGATAAAGAAATCGTTCCTGAATGACCAGCAGCCTTAAGAGATGCATTTACTACAGCAGAAAGGTCGGGTTAAAATACATCTTGAGATAAAGTTATTCCAGGTTCTACTTCCTACTCAAATAATTATTTTTGAGAGAGCTGCGTTTTCTTCCATAACGTCAGATTTTATTCCAAAAATCTTACATTAAATGAGATAAGAGAGAGTGCTTTTAATTATAGCAACAGGAATTAAAGTTCAAAATATGAAAGCCATTAAGCAAGAGTGAAAAATAACTATGTTTACTTAGTGAATAAAATTAAACAAAAATCTGCCATGGAAGGCATCACTTCCCCCCCACCCCTTTTCCTTTTAGACTGGTATGTTTTTCAGTCCATAAAAGTTATTTGGGATGCTGTTGTTGTATTTTAACTGAAAATTAAAGCCTTATTTCAGTACAACAGCACTTGCACATAGAAGATTTTTATTAAATACCCAATCATCCCAATTTAACAAAGACATCTTTCATAAAATGGTCAGCTAGCACTTAAATTGCACCCCTGAAGATGACACTTTGTCTTAGGACTGCACTGATCAGGTCACAAGTTTTTAACTGAAATAGGTCAAGTATGGATTATACTGCATTATACTGCATTATCTCAGAGCAACTCTGACCCCAGAGCGTTTCAAATTGAACAGGACTAATGTCACACGAGCAGTAAAACAAATGTGTTTGGGACATGGATTGGCAGTTGCTATCCTAGACAAGTTATCTCCTTTTCCTTAATACTACCTCAGTCAGTCAGCTTCTACCATATCTGGCTTCCTCGCCCTAAATTCTCACCCACTGCAGCCACGGTACCCTCCTGTAATTCCTAGTTAACAGCGAGACAAAAAGCAAAATATGGTTGCTTCAGAGCTACTCTGTGTTGAAGGGTGTGTGTGCCAGACAGAAGGATGTTTAGCAACAACAATTCCTACCTCTTTCTACCTAGTAGATTACTCTCAAAATCTGGAGGACTTCTGCCTTTCTATCAAATGACTGAATTTTGACGTCTTGTTAAAAGAGCTTATAGAGAAGGGAAAATAATGAGAGGTTAAGAAAACATTTTCCTTCAAATTTAACAAATATTTCTGCAATACAGAAAAATGGATAATGCCTTTGTTGGCTGGAAGAAAAGTTCAGTATATCCAGGAAAGTGGAAATAAGCTGGAAATAAAATTGTTTCTATTTTTCACTTGCGTCCGTTGAAACTTTAAAACAAAAAAACTACAACCCTTTGGCTACAGTGCTTAGGTGGCAGGAAATTAATAGGTAAAAATATCTAATGCAAGTGCAATACAGAGTCCTTAAGGTCATCAGCAAGTCTCTTCTGCAGCTTTTTGTACTTCAAAAAGGAGACAGATCTTTTAAGACTCCCTCCTTTATAAGCAAGCACTTAAACCTGACCTACATAAAAAAGTGTGAAGTAGCTCTATGGAAGGCTTATATCTAAGTGATTTTGAAGCAGTACTGGCAGCTGAGGCCATGGATTCGAAGCCAACATAAAAGAAAAGCAATCTCCAGCCAACAAGAGAACAGGAAGCTCACACAGAGAGCTCTTTCAAAATACCACTTGCAAAGAGTACTTCTGCTGACCTACTTTGTGTCATTTTGTGCATACCATACATGTTTATTGGTTTAATACTGAAGTATTATCCCAGTAACGCACTGCTTTATGTAGGCTTTTAGCACTGTTTTGCACAAGCAAATGATATAAATCAGCCCCTTGCAAATCCCTTCATTTAGCTTTGTGTCTAGAGTATATATAGTTTTTTTTGACACCAATTGTGAAGTCTGATGTTCTTGCTTGGCACATACTTGCTCTCAAACTGTATCACTGTTTTTTTTTTCCCAGTAACAGAACTAAACTTACCTGCTATACAGATTATCCCATATATTTTGAGGTAGCATTACAACTAGGTCCTCTACAAAATTAGCTTTGTGTGGAGGAACACCTGCAGAAGCAACAACAACAAAGACTGAGGGTTTTATTGGGGAGTGTGGGGGGAGCAGACTATGTTAGAGGTGTCTAAAGAAAAAAAAAAATACCACCTTTCAATGAATGATGAGAAATAACGTGAGACAAGTTTTTCCACAGTGTAATCTATTACTGTATTTAAAGACTACTCTAATTTTAGTCTTTTATGAGGCCGAAAAGTTTATAAAAAGCAAAGCAAACTACATGCAAGATTAAAAGGCTAGAATAATTTTTAGATACTGATTACAAAATGCTTCTTCAGGCAAACAATTAAAATGTCCAAACGATTAAATCTTTTGTTTATGCATGCAAACACACTAGCAAACTGTCTCCTCAAAGTTTCCTAATTTACTGTAGGCCTTTATGAACTACATCAAACAATAGGAATGCTTGAAAATAGTAACATTTTGAGGGAGGCAGAAATAGAGGGGCTTGCAGAATTAGAGGTGTTGAGCTGAAGCACATGGCAAGCAGCAACGTGCTATGCAGTGATTCTTTTGAACAGGGAAAATCTAGCCTAAAGGAACATTTTTACGCTCCTATACAAAATATACAGAACTACTACTCTATTTTCACACTGTTGTGCACTGGATGCTCTGCATCAGACCAGTTTCTTTTTTTGCAGCTTTCAAACCTTCTTATGCTTCTAGCACGTAGCTGGAAAAAGATTTAGATTGCCAAGATACTAAGGATGATGATAAAGTGAGAGGATTTTTTTAAATGGAAAAATACGTGTTTAGGAAGCGAGCAGAGAATCCAAACTGTTCCTCTTAAAGTTTATAAACTAAATCAGATGTGCAGAGAAAAGAAAAAAAAATTAGAACTTCACACAGTATCATTTCCAACTACTCAGCTACTAAAATGAGAGAAATAATTTGCTAAGTAGTAACAGAAGTTATAATATGAACTTCCCATATTCAAATTCCTTTCATTAAACACGCGTACACCCCTGCATAGCTACAAGTTGACAGACACATTATTTTTAATGATACCCGGTTACAGTCTCACCTCCATGCATACAGAGAAAGTCATTATTTGAAATTGGTCCTGGCTCTGCAAAAGTCTTGAATTTATTTAACCACTGTCTGGAAACATAGAACTGCAGAAGGCTTGGTTCCATCATATTCAGCAGACCTGATATTCTCCGTCTCTCTCTCTGTGCTTCTTCACTGCTCTTTCTATTACAGAAACAGAAATCATTAAACAAATACATATCCTTGTGTACAGTGCAGATCATTTACTTTGTGAAAACTGTACTGTCAAGTGTATTACCTGGGCTATGTGTGTGTGTCAAAGTTTCCCAGCATGAAGCAGTTGATTCAGCACGTGAAAAAACCTGCACCTTTTATGCACAGCCAGAGCCACCATCTAAACATGTGGCAGGAACCCAGACTGTCACGTTACAGAACCGTGTGTCACACGAGTCAGCACAGCCATGCAGAGCAGGAAGGGCAGCCAAGATTACGTGCTCTGTTAAGCCTATACTTATCCTTAGCTCTGACAAGCCATGGCGCAGGTGTTAGCAGGCTTACAAACCTTTGTCTGCTTATTCAACAACTCAAACAGCCCCGACAGTTCCCATTCAACCTGCCAGCCTGAGAAAGCAAAGAGCTGGACTGCAACAGAGACAGCAGAGGTGATCATCACAGGAGCAGGAGATAAGGCTCTGCCTACCTCCCCATTTCCTCTAGCCATCTTCCAAGCTAAAGCTTTGCAAGCTGTGCTCCTTGGGCAGATGTTCCTTACTTACCTTCAAAAGTCAGGCTGAACAGTAAGTAGATCAGGTAATTGCCCTACTTTTCCTATATCCCCCAACTTTTCTCATCAAGGCTGTTGCTGCTGTCCAACTGGAAGTACCTCTGCTCTCCTGTTTTTAGGTTGAATAGAATCTTCTCCAAAAGCAAATCTGAACCATTCATTCCATCCTCCAGAACTCTGACCTGAAACTTCACTCAGCATCGTACAAAAGCTGGGCCACCTCAGAGGTGACCAGAGTCAAAGTGAACTCAAATAGCTGATAGAAAAACTTTCAGGTAGGCCTAATGGCTACAGCAACAAGGCTATTTATAGTAGATGAAAACAAGACTAAGAGAGCAGGAAAAATCAAATGCTATGAACACAATTAAAAAACATTGCCTGTTTAAATTCAGATCAAAATTATTTACCAAAAACCTGAGAAAAGTCTGAAAATTTAAATTCAAGTAGGTAAGTTCAATTTCCAGCTGTAATTTTAAAAAGCGTATGTATCTCCACTGAACTTTCTAAAATGCACGGAAAAAAACATCTATTTTGTGTGCAGTGTAGTGTCTTGTGGGTATATTCTTTTAAAAAAACCCAAGTTTTATGAATGCTATACTTATTTATTAGTTTTACTATGTTTGCCCCCAGTCAGACACAGTGTTCTTTCTAGGCAATAAAGCATGACTTCCTCTTTCCTTTTAAAACACCTACCGAGTCAGACTCAGGCCTCGCTCAGACACTGGCAGGTACGAGTGCTCCTAATTAAAGTGTGAAGCCATTCTCAGAACACATCTCATTTCTGACATAATCTGTTTTGTCATCAACTTTTAGGGGAAATTTGATCTTTACACCAGAAGTTTAGAATTAGAAAATTGATTCAAGTTGCTTTCATTATTTCAAGTACAAAAACTCCGTAGATTGAGGATGATAACAACATGACTTTTGGCCTTTCATTTCAACTTTCAGGAAAAGACCAGCCTATAAATTCCCTGAAATTAAATTACAACACAGTAAAACCTCTGTTGCTCCACATCCCATCTGCTAAAGACTTCCCACAGTTCCCTTCAGAGCTCTAACAGCTGGAGTCTGTGTGCAAAACCTTCCCATGTGTAGAATTCCTTTCCTCTAATTGAAAACAAGGTAATTGGTGGCCAGTTCTAACAGTTGCCTAAAATTCTCTTTCTAGGCATTTTACTGTATTTGTGCAGATTTAATTTTCATTTTAATTTCTATACACGTTTTAGCAGTGGCAGAGCAAGCGTTAAGGCCATAAGTGAAGGATTAAGTTTCTCTCCAGCACAGGCTTGTCTGGTTGGTCAAATTCCTCCATTATAATCCTTGTCAGGCAGTTAAATTCCTGAAAGCTGCCCAACTGCTTAAGCAGTTATTTACATACCAGGCTAATATGGGTATGATTGTACTTTCAATTTCTTACCTGTAGAAGAGAACATAGGCTTCTGCATTTTGCACTGTGGATTCTGATACTTCTGTGACACTCTGGTCATCAAATTCATACCACAGATTATTTAAATTGTTGCGACAATAAGCTATGTAATGTCCACCTGGAGTGTTAAAAGTGAGAGCTATTAACAAGTGTCCAGAGTTGCCAATTTTACTTCCTTTTCATGTACTGCATAACAAGTCCAAAACCAGCAAATCTTATATGAGAAGATCATTAAACCATCAGCAGACAGGACCTGGATATTAACGTCTCTCAAACTCAGCACCAGCTGGTTTTTTTCCTGAATTTCTAACAGCTAATGGAAAGTTGGACATGGCTGTCAGCATAGTCTGGAACTCTTCAAGCAGCTTGTTGTCTAAGCCACTTCTGAACCACAATATTCAAATGGGAATAAGACTGCCTGAGCAATTTACCCTAACCAGTTTCCACAATCAACTCTTTTCAAATCTTTATATGCTTTGTAACAGACATTAGCATAGATGTCTAACAGCTACATGATATCAAGACCATATTTAACTGTTTTGAAGACTACTCATATTTTATTACTGTTTTAAAATACATATTCAAGTGCCAATAAATAAATCATCAAATATCTACTAAACTGATTATAACAAGCATCATTCAGCAAGCACTAAATGGAAGTGGAAAAAGCATCCAGAAACAATGGAAACAACTTCACCTAAACCTGAAGTTTGGGGAGGAGGAGGTGGTAACTTTTCCAGAAAATCTGTGACGTTGCTGGTTTCAAATTTGTCTCTTATTTCTCAAACCCTATCAATATTGGAAGCACTTCAGCAGAAATGAGCTTGACATACACAGTAAGACCTTTATTCATACCCATAAATAGCAGTTACTGCCTGTCTTGCGGTTAACTGACAACGACCATCCATAAAAAATATAAACTGGCATCTCTGTGGTGCTCTGTGAACTCTTTCCAAAAAAGTAAGGCACACAAAGCATCAAAATTCTAAACAAACAACAGCTGCATAGAACAAGACAACCAGCTGGTCACCTGCTGGCATGTGACATTATCTGTACATGTATACTGTTCACTTTCAATAGTGCATATATATTTTTTCACTTAATATTCCAGGATCTGTTAATTATATTCACAATTTTATTTAGTTATGCCATACAATTTCAAAGATGTGTCAATCTTTAAGAGGAAGCCATCTTACGGTTCAAGGTAACAATCACAGTATTTATCTTTCACGTTATAATTACCAATGCTTGTCTATTTATCCTTCAGTACATGGATATCACCCTTAAACAGAAGTGCTGATGTGAGTATCAACTGCAGAAACACAGCAATCAACCTCATACTCACTGCTGGCAGTTCCATGATGGCAGATGACCGACAGGAGATCGTAAGTCACTATTTGAGCTGGGCTGTCCTTCGCAAGGAAAGGCTGAAGATCAAGGCCTTCCAAGGGAAAGGACACATGGGTCCCAATTTTTGTGGAAAACATAAGTTCATGTCTAAATCTTTTGAGATGAATGCACAATATCTGTAAGAAGGATCGACAGATTCACTCAAGAACTATACATGCTATTATTTAATATTTAATAACTACACTGTGCATGCTGTCTCTTCCTTTTATCATGCCAAAAGGATCAGTTTTCTCTACGGCCTGAGGCCATATCATCATGAGCTCTGTGTTACAGTTTTGGTTTGGTTTTTTTAATCAATTGCAGCTTAAGGAGGTAGAAATGCATTTGTAATTATTGAAGACTTACTGACAATATAAAAAATGTCCTGACCAGTTACTAACACTGATGCAGCAATGAACTACGTACCTTTTCTCCTCCTCAATGGACCTACTGCACAATCTTGTCACAAGGGACATGAATTCTTCCTAATTATTGCAGCCATCAACTCATCTTTTGAAGTGTAATACTGGACTACTTTTAAAATGTCAAGTTACAAGCATTACTTATAGACAAGATTTTGAGGTATTTAATTCTATGTTCTAGAGTATAAATGAGGTTTAACTGCAGGCTGACAGTAACAATGTAGAAAAACCCCGTTCTTCTAACTTGACATGTACAAGGTTCACTTTCTTACAGTGTGAATAATCAAACTTTGCTCACAATCTTAAAATAAATGCCGATGTGAAGATACGCTTTCATCATATAATATTATAAACAGAATTTACTCCGTGCAACTCATTAGCCTTACCACATTCCTAATCATGCAGAAAAAGAGCTTTAAAGTGTGCATGTAGTAACAGTACCTCAGGAAATTTTTGCACTTTGCAGAATTTCACTCCATTTCTTAACCTAAGCAAAGAAAAAACAAAGAAAACCAACCAATATTTAGTTCTGAAAGGTTTTGTTTCACTGCGCTAGGTCAGCAAAAATCTAAGCTGAACATGACATAAGTAAACCCAAAATATTTCTGGAATGTCAGCTAGACAGGGGGTAGCCAAAATGATACAAACAATGATGCTTCAGAAGAAAAGACAACCTGCACTGCTGAAGAATTCAAAGCGGCAAGTACAGACAATCAAGTTCCACCTAGCTAACAGTTCTAGCTTACAGTTCCTCTTAGCATAAAGGAAAGAGCTTTAAGTGTTATGAATGCTGAGAAAGGAGAGAAAAGAAACGAACTAAGTTTATTTAATAAACTACCTACAGCAGATCACCAGTTATATAGCAAGGAATAACACTCATTTTCCATAAAGGGCTTTGAGCAGTCATCAGGCCACTTGTGTTTCTTCAGTATTTCAAGCCATAGTATATTTATTTATATTTAACACACTGGAGTGACCTACTGCATATCAGTAAAAACCTGCTAGTAATACAGAGGGCTAAATACTTTTATTTTATTGACCAAAAGCAACTTATAAAGGTTTAAAGTTATAGGACACATGAAAAAGAACTAAGCACATTTGGTTTGCAGTATGGCACTGTAAGTCAGCGCTTCTGGACTCCTGCACCTTTTTTGATACTAAATTTCTGACAGCCAGAACACAAGGCAGTATCAAGAGATTAACAGCACTGCAACATAGCCAACAGAAATAAATGCCTCTTGACTAACAGAAGCATTAAAGCACTCAAATTAAGACAAGTTAAAAACCAAAAAAGGTAAAAGCCAGCTTACTTTTTACACCTTCCGCAGCTGTACATGTTATCACCTGCAAGTATCAGGGAGAAGAAAACCCAACATTATTCTCTAAATCCAAAGAGTTCTCCTTCAAGTGCATATATTTGCTATATAAAAGTTTCAAGGGAATTTATGTTTAGGTTGCATGCAATATTTAACAGTTTTAAGAGTGTTGACATAGCAACTAAATAGGAAGGTTCTTAGGTATTATGCTTTCACCTATGAAGCAGTATGGCATAATCTGAAGAGATGATGCTATATAATTTTAAAAGGAAATAACTTACTAAATCCAAATTAAGGTTATGAGCATCACGTTTTTGAAAGTTTTATGAGCCTTTAGTTGATACCGTTTCATTAAGCCAAATTCAGATTTGCTTGACATTTCTAAAGCAGCTTTCATGAACATTTCTTGCCTCAAATATTCAGCTGAGCAAGAAGCTTACCTTTTGAAATGACAAATCCCATAAGAGCAAGGAATGACTGTATTACAGTCTAACAGAGGTGGCCTTTGCTTAATTGTGTGAAGCTAAGAGGATACTAATCATCTTATTGTGATAGGAGGAAAAAAGCCCAGAAGAAATAGGTTCATGTAATTAACCTCTTACCCTTGAGCTCATCTCTGGCGAAAAAGGCAGCAAGACAATCTTGTAAGGTTACAACTGGACCCCAAAACCAGCTAGGAACACATGAGACAACAAACCTGAAACATCATTGACAGAAAAGAAAGAAAACCAACAAATGTTCTGCCAGAAGAGCAGAAACTGGAATTTCAAAGTTGATACATAAATAGAACTAGGTAAATATTGTTTACCTTTTGAAATATTCCATAAAAAAAGCTATCCATCCCTGGGGGGCATAGGCTTCTCCACATGATCCTGCCTTGACTAGAGATGTCTGATGACTTGCAGAATGGAGTTTAGCAAGATCTTCCTTACCTGGAATAGGCAAGGACAGATCCTGAAAGGTCTCCAGGGTTACAGAGAGCTAAAGAAGAAAACAAATGAAAGAAGACAGAGTTAAGCTTGAAGCGAAACAGCAACTAAACTGCATTCTGTAAAGTCCACCAGTAACCACTAAGTCACTGTAGAGTTGAAAATTCCACTGGGCAGCAAATTAATTATAAAAAAAGAAGAAAAAAAAAAACATTTTAGAGTGAACTTGCACATTCTTACCACTGAACTTCTCTAAGTCATTACTGTCTTTCTACCAGCCACACAAAGCACTACAAATTAATTATAAAAAAAGAAGAAAAAAAAATAACATTTTAGAGTGAACTTGCACATTGTTACCACTGAACTTCTCTAAGTCATTGCTGTCTTTCTACCAGCCACACAAAGCACTGTGATTTTTGCCTCAGACTCCTGTCACACAAGCTAGCTTCAGAAAGCTTCAGCCTGTTGTTTAGACAGTATTTTATTTTGACATTATCTGGACCTGATGTAACTGGGCCTGCTGCAAGAGATCCAGCTGTGCATCTTCTTTTTCCCATACTGGATACAGCGATCACAGCCACAGAGTAAAACATCAAGCAAACTTTAAAAATTCTTATTTGTTTTTTTGATCCTGCTCGGCAGATTACCCTGAGGTCTTGGTATTCTTAGATATAAAGCAAAGGAAGCAATAAGGGCATGCAGCTGCAGCAGGGTTAGGCTTGAACTCTACGTTGAGAAACTTGTTCCCAATGCAAAGACTTGGATATCCAATACTTGATATTACTGCTTTGAAACTGAAGCGGTCCACTGGAAATGTCCACTAGACATGACTTTTTTTTTTTTAAATTATCAGGTGTGCTGTTCTAAGTAATTCTATGAGCAAACAGTACAGAAATGAAAAAATCAACTGTTCCAGTATTGCACCACATTTTGCAGTAGAGGACAACTTCAGAAATCGGTTAATGATTCATATAACCTGTGAAATTAAGTGTCTGGATTTTTGAAAAACAGGAGTTTTCTTAGCCACGATCTACCTGACAAGACTGTTATAGCAGTGTGAGCAGACTACCATCTTCTAGTTTTCTTTGTGACATTTTCATTGTAACCTAGCAGTAGCAGGTATGCATTAGGATATTCAGAACACTACTAGAAACTAGTAATTCCTAAAGTGAAGTTGAAGAGCAAGCCTCTTTCTCCATCCTTGCTAGAAAGTAATTCTCAGGATGTTACTTTTCAGCTCTGAGTAAACATCCACCTCACTGAAAGCAAGCTAGTCTAAACACAAAGTGCTGGTAGTAGCTGCTATTAGTATTTCAGTGAACAAGTACAAAACAACCTAAACTTCTGAGGAAATCTGCCACAAAAGAATAATTTACCTGAGAATAACTGTATTTGTAAAACTGTAAGTATTTGTACTTGGGGGAAAACAAAAATATATCTATCTTAAAAGCAAGAACTTTGCTTCTTTACTCACCCGATCACAAGTCAAGCACTGTACTGAGCTTATTATAGTCCCATCAAATATATCAGAGATAACACTCCTGTACTTCTTGCGCTTCTTTCTTTTTGGCGACGATACAGTCGAAACTATAAAATGAAAAAAATACAATGCTGAAAGTAAATCAAGATCCCTTGGGTTCTAATTTCCTTCAACTTTGCAGAATATGAGATCACGCATACTTCGGATTAAATTATGAGCTAAGCCCTGTTTTCCCTTTACTAATTATTTTTCAGGTATTTAACACCCAGATTACTGCTGGTACCAGGCAACTCATGTAGGCTCATCAAGCAGTTTATGGGGGACAAACACCAGAAAATTTTGCCTCTGTTGAAGTAAAACAAACTGCCAGTCTTGAAATCTACAGCCTACTGCTATGAGGTGCATCTTGGCAGGAATCCTTCAAAAGGCACATTCTACCTGACATTTAGTTTGATTACACCTTTCCAGGAAGTTTTTTTAACCATGTTGGGCTGAAGAGCTCAAACACAAGCTCATTGTATTGTATCACAACACTGATGATAGCGGGTTGGAGTAAATTTACTAGCAGAGTCCAGCCTAACAGCAGCTTATTAAATAAAGAGAAAGTAAAACTCCAAGCCAGTAACATGTGCTCCCCACCCAAATCCACTCCTAATGAGGTAATCACACCAGGGCAGTCTCTTGGGCTCTACAGATTACTGGAATGGTAGGCTAAAACGATGACCACAAAACCTCTTCTGGAGTCAGTAAATTACTCAAGAGACCACACAAAAGTCTTGTAGGAGTCCAAGACAAACTGTGTCAAGATGCTGACACAAGAAACAACAAAATGAGAAGTGGAATACAGAGCAATTCAGGAAGAAAATAAAGGGCCTGTACCTTTTTTGTGGACTGGTGCCAGCGAAGAGCAGGATGAGAACGATTTTGGAGGACTGGTTGATAAGCGTGAGTTCATCCCTTCATTTGATGATGGGGTTTGGGCTGCAGATATATCATTCATGTGGACATCATTGATGTACTCTGCAATTAATATTTGCATTATTTCATAAATTCTACCAAAAATGCACTGCAGAATGAACAGATGCAATAGTTACATCACTTATTTAACCACACTGTAGGGCACTGGACACTTAAGAATGAAGCACTATTTAACTTTAAAGACATGTGAATTGAAGAACAAACCAACAAAAACCCTCTCCATCCTTCTGGCTTATCTGAAACATTACCCAGTACAAATCTTCAGCTTTCCAAGGGAATTTAAATTGAATTCAGAACAGCTAAACTGAAAAAAATGAAGAAGTAAATCCACCTACCCTATTTGACCTCTACCTCTTTACTGTTTCTACAACTCATTTCCACTCACAAAGATAATCTGGCTAAGAATTTGACTATTTCAATTGCACGTTAGTAAGACATTACCTGAGAATCTGCTGTGTATCTGTACTTTGACAGTTCCTTGATTATTTAAAAATTCAGTGGTCTCTGAAGCAGTGTTTGTGTCTTTTTCCAAGTCTTCCACAGAATTTGCTCGTTTAAGCTTGTTATTTGATATTTTTTCTTTCTGCCAGTCTTTGGATGTGATCGAGTTGTTATCGTCATCCTGAATTAACATGGTTGTCTCTGCAGGATCCTCTAGGACAGGTTTGAAAATAGCATCGTTTTCTGTTTTCTCACAGGTACCACAGGAGTCACAGGGCTGGAAGCCCACATCTGACTGGCTCTTGTCTTCCTCCATACTCTCTTCAACACCCATAGGCTGGGCATCTTCCAGTTCTACGACTGGTTCTTTAAGTTCTTCATGAAGCAAATCCATCAGACACCGCAAAAATTCTTGTGCGTCCTAGGATTTTAAACAAGTTTTACAATATCATTCCATTTGATTTGAAAGACAGTAAAGTCACATCAGGAACAGAAACAGGTCACTAAACTGAAGGCTACAGCTGGCTGTTAAAGAAGAAAAAAGTAAATTCCTCTGTCCCATGTGGAACATTCAAAAGAAAATTCATTTCCAGACCACATACTTGTTTCCTGCATCCGTTTCTTGCATGTCACAAGTAATCTTATCATACAAGTTTCCTCCAAAACACTTCAATTCCCAAAAAGCTTATTTCAACAACTTGAACAAAAAGTACTGCCACAGCTTGCATGAATGATAAACATAATTCAAACAACTCCCAGGAGCGCGGTCAGGCTCCAGCTCTGCTGGTAATGGGACATTTTAGGAATGTTTTTTTAAAACCTTACTTCAGCAAAGCAATCAGAGCCTTGCTTTCACTGGGCATGGAACTACCTTATTAAAAAGTATTACGATGTACTTAGCCCGTCTTTCCAGTGGCATCACACTGTCAACAAGATCTGAAATCTTCTCAAGCCTGGACAAGATTCCTCAGCTATCAGTGTTGCCACAAAGCCATGAAGTATTACTGCAAGTCTAATCTGTGTTTGGGAATATCTTAGAAGCCACTAAATTTCAACAATCCACACAGCAACTTGGTTCCTGGCAAGAGAGAATATCTAATAAAGCAAGCATGGGAAAAAACAGTAGCCTCTTCTTGGCAACTACTGCTGCTTCTGTTTCCTACAACTATCAGATTTGACTTTTGGTTTTGGGTAATGAAAAAACAAAATCTACTATGCCTATTTGCCAGTAATCCTTTAAAACAAGGGAAGACTCAGACCTTGAGACACAGATTAACTGATAAACATTCTTCACTGAGCAAAAGAATTCCTTTTTCTCTCTGAATATTGGACATGGTTGCCCAATTGGCTGCCCAACTTGTGAGGCTGGGCACCAGGAGAGTGTTGGTCATGAACAACCTGCTTTGTTTTAATTGTTGCCATGAAACCAGATAAACATACGACAAGTGTGATCCAGGCAGAACCTAAGAGGTCATCATTAAGTGTTGCTCTGCATGGAAAAAGACGTTCTCATCGGTGTTGAAAGCTGCAAGAACCAAGTTCCCATACAGTTTCTTTTCGGTTATTGAGATTGATTTTCTACTTTCCCAGAAATTCATGTGGCTCTTAAGAAATGAGTAAATTAAAAAGCATTGAGATTACTATTTAAACATTTACTTTACAGCTACACGCAGCATTTGAACATGAAGATGTGTTCTAATCCTCCACTCCACAACTATGAAACCTGCTAACTGGAACAGCAGAATTCCTTTCAGTAACAGCAGATTCCTGGAAGATATTAATAAGCTTTTCCAATTACAGGGTTTTAATTTTTCCATTAGCCCAAAAGCTTTTAATAAAGCACTGCAAACCGTATGAATGCAGCAAGATATCGTATGAAGGATTAACTGAAGAGTGCCCTTACTATATAATAATCCATGCTTTTAACAAGTTACCAGCTTACAGTTTCCATGATGCTGCTTACAAAACACACAGCAGTGGGGTTTGGTTTTTTTTTTCAAAGATATTAAATGAAAATCTGACACTGTGTGTTTGATTTTTAAAAAAACATAACTGACAGATGAATAGTAAAAAAAAAATAAATCTTTTTTTTAATTTTTGAAGTCCTTTATTTTGTTTTCTGGGACTGCTCAAATATTTGCAGTGTTATTTCACACAAAGGAAGTTTTAGATGCACATTATTTTAATTTTCCTCAAAAAAATTGAGGAGGAGTTACTCTCAGAAGTCAAAGGCCTTTCATGTTTGTGTATATCAAATGCTTAAAACCTGACTTAACCATTGATGATTTGGCTTCAGATGATCTACATTTGAAGCACACAAACTGAAGTTTATGTTGTATTTGCTTTAAACAAATATAGGAAGCATGGTATCTTAAACATTAAATTTAAAAATATGATAATTTTATGGTTTAGGCAGATTTAGAAAACAACAGAAGGTCTTACCTGTTGAGAGTAGCCTCGAAACGTTGGGTTAACAGTTTTAATTCCTTGAAATAAGCCAGTAGGAACAACAGAACCAGGCCTAAAGGAAAA